CCCCCCCCCCCCCCAACACACACATTATCGAATGCAAGCATGCAAGTAAAATTACACACACACACACAAACACACTGAAACGTTCCACAAGAAGAAAACTAATTACTAGAATGATGTCTTTTACTTATAATCAGGGTACACACACCACACATGATACACATCTATACCAAGGCAAAAATGATTCTAATACAAATTTTTCAAAAGTAGTTTTAGGGTGTGAGGCATGTGAGAGGCGGAGAAACCATTACAGGATTAAGCAGTCTTCCTTTCATGTAGGGTCCGCCATATTTGAGCCTTGCACCAGTTGATACTGGAATCTTCTATTCTGAATGGCCGCTAACAGTGCCATGAAATTCATGGTAGCTATGTAAACACCTATCTATCACTGCTTTGAAATTCCCAGTACCCACATAAGACAAGTCATAAGGCACCAGTTTGTTGATGTGTGGGCTGGCTCGAGTATCTGCCTACAACAGTATTTGATCAAGACGAAGGTGTTTTAAGTAATGAAAACATGAGTACACCTGTTTTTGTAGCTGAGCAACTGGGACTCAAACTGAATAAAAACACTGATAACATGAAGATGCTATTACTAAAACAATGTTATCTTCTGGTGGACTAGGTATCTTTTTTTTTTTCATACCTAAACACCTCCAGCCCTTTCTTCACACTAGTAGAACATCTTTAGTATAAATCATTAGAGGACTGTGGATGACTGAATAGTTAGAAACATTTTACATTTAAAACTTGCCTCAGTTTGTCTTGCTTAAAATGCCACCTACAGGAGACCAGAACTCCCATTCTGTCATCCTTCCTATATCAACCTTTACTGATCACTTAGCCCACCACATGTAACTGCTGGTCATATTATACTGACCGCTGGTCATTGCAGTTGGTAACCAAAGTTTGAGGCATGCCAAAAGGGTAGCAGATGTTGACATTTTCTTTTTCATTCCAAAAAATCATAAGTGGAAAAACCAATGACCTTTTGAAGACTACTTGTGGGCAAGTGTTAAAGCACGAGAAGAAATCTTTCCCATTTATCTAAGCATTGCTTTTGTATTTTGTTCTTCTTTTACCAATTAATTTTTTAATATTTATTCATTCACTTCAATCAGCATAATGACAGTCATCAGTTTGATTCACAGGACATGTCTGATATTGATATCGGTGCTTTACCACAACTGGTCACCACTGGTCAGATAATTACCTAGACCAGCTGACCAATACCAAACATTAGACCACGGTGAAAGTGAAGAACAAAAGATTCAGACGTGGTGTAACTCGCATAACCGCACGTCTCGCATGAATGCGTTATAACCCGCTAATGGACCCGTGGTCTAAATAAGATAGATCCCTCGTCAGCGAGGGTTATGTGACATCCACTCGTGCTACGCACTCGTGTATGCCACATAACCCTCGCTGACTCGGGGTCTATCTATTACTAAACAGATTGGACATACTACCTCATTGAATGACAGATGGCCCAATACCTCATTCTGCCATTCCAAATATGTCGTCATTCCAAACATGTTGCACTATTTAATGGACCATCTTTCCTTTCCTTTACAATATGCTAGACATACTTTTAAATCATTATTGTATCTTTGCAAGTGCCCATCATTCTTTTTTTTTTTAATTTAATGATGGAAAGGTATGTGGTAGACTGATAACATGTGTGACAACACTAGAAAATGACCGTCAAAAATGTCACAGCCGTCAAATTGGCTTTTCCTCTCTGCCCTTAGAAATAATTTTTAAGGGACAGAGACACAAAAGTCCTGGAATTCAAAACTCATATTTGGTGAAAATTATGAAGCAATTTTTCTAAGAGAATACCTTTTCCAGAGTATGCCTAATCTATGCGTCAATCTCTGGGTCTGACAGATGACTTTTACAAGATACGTTAACTGGCTTCACCTGGGAGATTGAGGGACTGTTTGTGTAAGACAACATAGCAACAACTTCGCATGTGATACGAATGGGTGCAGCCCATTTGCAGGTAGGCATATATGGACATGGAGGATGGGGGGGGGGGGGTGGAGGAGGGGGTGCTGAAAAGGGGGTGTTGTTTAAGTTCATACGTATATTATACAAGAATTTGTAAAAAATGAAATATGTTGCTGGCATCAAGAGTGAAATAAGAAAATGTAACATATCATGCTCAGTTCATTTATTTATCTTATGGGACAAAGACACAGATATGTCGCTCTCTTTAACAGATTTTAACTTGTCAGCCATACTGGATTGATAAAAGTCTCTCCAACTTATACTGCATTTAAGTTTACAAATTTCATTGGAATGCATTGCTATGGTGACACAATAAATGGCTGTGACAGGTGTAAATTTGGTGGGCCTGTGAACACATAAACATCGAGCAACCTGGGTGAGAGAAAGACTGATGTCACATAAAAGAGATTTTTTCTCAGGTTGGTCAACACTTCATTGGTGCACTTCAAGATAAAGTTGCATGCTGGATTATGGCCCACTGAAACCTAGATATGCAAAATGTGCTGTCCAGATCTGATTCAGTGA